GGAAAAATTAAAGAAAAATGCGTCTGAACGTTTGTTTCTATGGAAACATTTTTCAGTGAGTAAAGAATTGAAAAGAAACTCATAGTAATATACTAGAGTAAAAAAGGAAGTTCGAAATAACAATGAAAAAAATACAAAATCCATGCCGTTACACCCGAATGTCCCTTCCAAGGGACATCATGTATCCACGCGGCAAAGCAACACCACTTAAGTCTCGATATAACAAGGATATACCGAAGAACTGTAAGCTTCAACGCAGTAGTTATTTCATCGGCAGCTATAATAAAAGTGTCTTCGGGTGTAAAGGGTTAATTCAGACTACTCTGATTTATCAGAAGCAAGCGGCTTAACTTGTTGCTTTAAACCCTAAAAGAGTAGTTTTAGTGAAGTCAGTCAAGGAGAGACGAAATGGATTCCGGCAAACGAATTTGCACTCTAGCAATTTCTTTTAGATCCTGTATAGGGATCTATTTTCAAACGCTTCTGTAAGGGATTAGTTAGAGCGTAAACGTCCCGCATAGCTCTATGGTTGGAGCATCCCCTCGGACGAATAGTCGAGGTCAGATTGTGTGCAATCCCATGGCGTACTTTTTTTAAAATAACTTTCATGTTTTATAATAACTTTAACTCTAATGAAAGTAGTACAGTTGAATTATTTTAAGAGACAGTTTGAAAAGATGTTTCTGTCGAGCACAGTGGACCTTATCTTCGTTTTCGGATTTCACAGACAAAGTAACTAGACAAAAACTGCATCAGATGAGATAACTTAAGACTGATTTGGAAGGGCGCCGATTTGCGGTCTTATCGTTCCCCGTCCTTTGAAAAATTGAAAAATTAGTTTTTCAAAGAAATGAGCAACAGAGAACGTAATTTTTGCTTCAGTTCTTTGAAGAACAAATGACCCAAATAGAAAATTGAAAAGTTGAAGAACTCATTTTGTATTCTGTCGTTTTCTGAAAAATCCAGTTCATGCATGTTTAAAGAACTCATTTGTATTTTCTATTTGGGACATATGACTTTTGCCTGTTATCGTTCCCCTCCTTTCATCTCGAATCGAGTGCCGAAGATATCTAAATTCAGAATCTCTATCGTCGTTATGTTTATTTCCATTCGATTCTAAAAGAAAATGTTTTATTTTTTGCCCTTGTCTTTTCAAGTTAATTTTGCCTGTTATCGTCCACCTCTTTTGTTTTACAATAGTTTTACAAAACTATCAAAAAGAATGTTATACATTTAACATTGAATATCGTCTTCAGAAACTCATCGAATTTTCCGAAAGAAAAGAATCGTTTGAACAGTGTAATCGACTATCGTCTGGACTAGTAGTCAACATCATATCACAGTTTATCATTTCATCAAATAAATTTTGTTTAACATGATGATATAAACCTTGTAGTGGTCTTCTCAATTCTAGATGATTAAATTCTTTTGAATCTCGAACTCTTTCAACTAAACTATGTGGTGAAAGATACAAATTCTCATTTAAACGATTAATATATTGTGGTTGTTGAGCGAACCAGAGTTTTTGATCAACCGCATTGTCTTTCAACGTTTTATCAGCATGTCTAAGATAAGATGAAATAAAGTCAAGGATTTTGTGTATAGGATATCTGAAAGAAAAGAAAAAGACACCATTGATTCTGTATTATTTGAGAACTATACTCGAAGCGCATACCTATATCCATAAAGATAAATCATGATACACAGAATTTGAACATAAATACTCCCAATTGCACCTGCACGTTTTGATGATTGTTCTACGCCACAAGAAAATGCGACCAACACATTTGGAGATAAATCGTCGTAGACAATATTGCATGTCTTATGTATAACTACGGTTCCTTCTGCCGGTGAACGACAGGCTTGTACAAAAAAGAGACGTGGTTTCTGTTTCCAAATCGTTTTTTTATCGTCATTAAAACTTTGAACAAGATCGCGTATACAAATCACTTCTCCATCGGCAGTAAGCAATATATTTCTCATTCCATGTGACATGAGAGCGATGACTAAACAATCATATTCACTATAGATTGAATTATGTCTAACATCGTCTAATACTCTTTCTAAACCATCTTTTGTACAATCTGTTTTACATATTATCGTTGGAAAATTCATTTCACTGAAAATTGATTTTAGTATTTGTCGATCTTTGTCTGATCCCGAACGTATAGGTGTCGCGTATTCAATTGAATTAATATTGGAAATATTAATTATCACACATAGACCACATAGTGGAGCATTTGTACATGTCTTAACTGAACTTGTTTCCTTTACATGCTCTACACGATTTTCTGAGAGACTGATTCTTTCATAGTCATATTGGACGAGAAAATTTTGATATTTTTTAATGAAGTGATTGAATCCTTCGATTATGGAATAAATTTTACATAAATATGTTTTTAAATAATAACAGTCTTCTAATCGTCTAAAAAACTGTTCGGCTGTCAAACATGGTTCTTGAGCGAACATTGTTTCATAGAGTGTCAATAATGTTGCTTTTTCATCATATTTCATCCTATAATAAAATCGAATCTTATTTACCATTGAACTATTTAATTCTATATGAATAGCAGCTAATAGAAAATAGTATGCGTTCTTTATTTCTTGTTGAATGTTGAAGATATGCGTATCACTTGGCAATTGCGGTATATAAGATGGAAAAAATTTGTCCTCATTTTGGCACAAATATGTTCGTTTGAAATGGCAGACAACCAAAATTATAACACGTAGTAAAGCTGGACTTAGTATTGGGCGGAGTTGACTGTCCTGCAAGTATGTTTCAAATATTATCCGCGATCTATCACTTAATAATTGTTGACTTTTGATCAGATCACTGTAATACATAGAACCTTCACGAACATTGTCATAATCCCATTTGTTGAGTGCGTCTATACAGTCACGTAAGACAGACGCGTCCAGACTCATTCTTGAGGAAAAGATATCTGAAAATTTAGACTAATACGCCAGACAAATGAGCGCGTCGTGAATATAACAAAACAGTTTCTATTGACTTCTATATGAATGACAAAATAATTTGTATCGAGTTGAATCCATCAAAAACATACTATGATTTACAAAAATGTTGTGGGCAATAGAGATCTGCATGGGCAAGATTTTTCTGCCCGTAACCCTATCGACAGTGCCGTAAATTGCGTGTACGTGTGTGTAAGCTCCCCCCCCCCAAAAGAAACAAAAATTTGTCCTTTTCTCCCAGCGGAAATTAAAATTTTTTTTCGTTATTTTTGGTCGCACAGCGAAGATTTTTATTCTTGAACCCCTCCAAAAATATTTTTTACACCCCCCAAAGTTGACTTTCTATTTACGGCCCTGCCTATCAAGTGTGCCTGTTCGTGTCGTATGAAAAACAAACTTTTTACGTGATTCATTCTATTTTTTACTAATCAAAGGAAATCTATTGTTTTTTCCTTAAAAGGTTTGTGTAGTTTAATGAGTTTCAGTTTAATATTCATCTCCGCTTTTACTTAATTGTAGTTGTTGAAAATTTGTTTAAGAAAATCTGTGCTAGTCGAAGAGAGCGGTTACCCGGTCGCGGACAGTACGGGCTAGGGGTGGCACTTTCGCTTTCCTACCGCTCTTTTTTATTAACAAAAGAAAAGTTTTTCTTTTTCTTTACAACAAAAAAGAGTAAAGATATAATGCATATCTTTTCTTTCCTAAGAAAAAGAAAGCGGCGCCTTTTCTTTTCTAAAAAAAGGACTTTTCTTTGCATCTTTTAAGCAAAGTCTTTTTCTTGCAAAAGAAAAGATATGTATTATATATTTACTCTTTACTTTTGAAATAAAAGATATCACTTTACCGTTACTCTGGAAAGGAACGGGAAAATGCCACCCCTAGTACGGACAGTCCCTCGACCACGGGAAACCCCGTACTCGTACAGATCCTAATGGACAACTGCCGAGATCCAACTCATCTGGAGGATACGTCCAGTTGTATTAGAGCTTTCTAATACAAACTGGGATAGTTTATTGGGTGTGCGTTGGAAGATAACCGGATTTTCTTCTCACAGCGAAACTGACGATACTTGGCATTACCATCAGTATGTCTAAGCAAACTTTTAATGCTTAGTTTCTTTTCGGAGGCCTGCAAGTTTCGAAATGTCACTGGATATAAAGACCACATTGAGCTCCACTAGTCTTGGTAAAACGTTTGACCCATGTACACTTATCGTGCACTAATAACGGTGGTTTTTCTCGCTAGAGGTGGTTTTCTATGATGATGTAGAGGCTGCTATACTTTTTTCCTAAATATAAGTTCTAAATTTAGATTCGAACTGAGAACCAAAAATTCTCAATATGCGTACAGGTTTTGTCTTGCGTATGCAGCACACTTGTTCTATATAAAAGATGTCGTCATACTCTCATTTAAATGAGTCATACATTTAATTTTATTTGAGAAAAGTTGCAACTGCCAGAATAAAGAAAAAAAATGAAGAAAGTTAAAAAAGAAATCGCGTCCTTTAGAGTAATGTGACGAACTTTAAAAAGCTCTTATCTCCAAAGCAAAAGGTCATGGAGAGCTAGGAGTGATCTTATTTTGTAGTGGACACGTCACTCTGTCATGCGTTATACTTGTCTAAAAAATAGAAATTCTCTCTAAAACGAGGGATACCCTTAAATTTCTTAAGGTAAGGTAATATCTCAAGCGCTTCAAATGATCAAGAGTCTCATGCGCATGCTTGATATCTATGAATCTCATGCACTTGAGAGAAAAAAGTTTCACCAGGGTGCTTATTAATGCGTTGATTACAAATTATGAAGCGTTCTAACTAAAAGCTGAAGAAAAGGGAACAAAGTTTTACCGTTTTATTGTTTGCTTAAATAAATCATTTTTAACGTTTTATATGTATGCGTAGTAGTTATTTTCTTGTTACTATAGTATCAATGTGTTCTTATTTACTCGACAATCGGGTACTCTACCCGAGAACGAGTGTATAATTGTAAAAGTGATCACGGGTATGTCACATAGTTCTGAGCTCTTTATCGATTTTTGTTTTCTTTATAATTTTTTCTTTTCGAATTATAGAAGAAACACTGAAACTCGCTTGAAAATGAAGAAAAGTATTTTCGATTTTACAAAACTTTATGGCTAGAAAAGATGAAATAATAAAAGGAAAGAAAAAAGACATATCAGAAATGCTTTTAGAATCTGATCTTCGATAGAAACACCTCTTGGCAACCGTACGTCCAACGAAATCTTCAGGCAGTTTTGACTTTCAATCAACATAGGGTTGTTCGTAGCTGCAAGATTTCTTGGTAACCAAATGTACGGAGAGCTCCGATTGGCCTGGTGGGCGAATCTAGAAAACACTTTCAGTGACGCGGACTCAAGTCACATGTTTTATTTAGTACAAAAGAGTAAGTTTAGTAATTAGTAAACAAAAACACATTAATATTGTAGTAAGAAGTAAAGAAACAGTGGCGGATCCAGGATTCTACCGATGGGGTGGCGATTTCTAAACGATGTCATCCGAGGTAGTATGAATATTTTTCCTAACGAAGTCTGGTAGTGTACTTCCATTAGAATTTCATTTGTGAGGAGGCGGAGGTCACTGGACCGCCGTAGTGCTAGATCCGCCACTGAAAAGAAATACTACGCACTGTACTTGAAGGAGAAAAAAACTTTTTGTCATCATTTAACTGATGATGCCTTTTGAATAAAGACGAAGCTAGTCTCAAGTGAAGCTGTTAACTTTAACATGTATAAGGTGTTGTTAGTCTTATTAGTGATTTAGAATAAGAGCAGATTTTCTCGATTTACCACGTTTATTTCGTCCTAAAGGCTTATGTAGGCGTCTGCGCTAACACATAATTTTCAGCGACGGCGGTCGAAAATTAAGGATAAGCGCAATCAGTGATGAGGAGCGATGTGAACATGAAAAATTTAATTTCGGTGCCACCAACACTGTTGAGTTCTGACAAAAAGTTGAAATAAGCATTTTATCGACGGCGACGTGGGTGTCCAGACATACAATCTTTTGAAATCAGATGATAGTTCAAAACAATTACAATAGAACTATATGCTGTCAAATAATTTCTTTACAAAAGAATCTGCACAAACCAAAGTTTTGTTGCACTAAAACCATGTGAACAGATTCATGCCAAATAGCTGTTTTACTATTTACATGAGTGAATTGCAGCGCCAGTGTGCCGTTTAATTCCAATGTGTAAAATGGAAATATCTCCGGGTCTGCTCAAGCAAACTCAATAAATTCTTTTTTGCTTTGAAGCTCTAGCCCTTCCTCACTATTCCCAATAAAGTCAGCATCTCATTTTGCCCGGCTGCTGAGTCAGAGATCAAACATGACATAAAACTCTGATTTTTAACGCTATCTACCAGTAAGATTTGTTTTTTTCGAAAGTGAGTTTGACTTTCAAACCTGAGATAGCACTAGATTTTGTAGAGAACACCTCAGACTTCCAGAATATATGCCTGGAGTTGAAATTCGAACATGTCTTCCTGTCGAGAAATCAGAAATATTGACTTGATAGGCACGTTACCAGTTTTCTGTCCACGTTAAAGCTGAGTCAGTAGGTATAACAGCTCACTGTAAGGTTGGAAATTATTTATGGAAAATGCTCGGCGAATTTCAAAGAGTACATATGAGAATTCCGTGGGGATTTTCCAGTTTATAGAAAATCGAATTTCCAACAATCTAGAAAATCGCCGTTGAATTTCCATAAATAATTTTCAAGAAT